GGTCATTCATCTATCCATGTTTCAACCTTCCATCCATCAAACCACTATTACAAGATCAGTTTGCATTTCGCCCTACAGGTTCATCTACATCCGCTATCATCCCTCTTACTTCCACAATAACATCTCTTTTTAAAAATAATAATTATGTTTATCTTATTGCCCTCGACTTTTCTAAAGCTTTTGACACTCTCAATCACTTCTCACTTTCAAATAAGTTAGCCTCTCTTCCTCTACCTGACAACATTTACAATATTATAAAAATTTTCTATCTAATAGGAGTCATTCTACTTTTTATAGCTCTACTCTTTCGTCTACTCATGGTCTCCTAAATAATATACTACTGGTCAAGAAACCAAATGTGATTTTGTGTGTGCTCGACCCAAACTGAGGCCATGCTTGTTTGATAAATAAATGCTACTCGCTATATAAGTTGCTGTTGTTTACTTTTGAACGTTTTGATTTCGTTTATCATCGCTTGTATTGTGTTGTTGATTTTGCTTTTTATTTCACTGATTTATTTAAAAATATTAAAATTATTAAAAATATGTTATTTTAAATAATTAAATTCAAAATGGTTAATAAATGTTGTATTTATGGCTGTAAATCTGGGTATACGTCAGAAAATCGTTCGGAGTCTAAAATTACGGAAAAACAGAAAATCACGTTTCATAAATTTCCAATTGATGACGAAGAATTAGCACGAAAGTGGTTGAAAAATATCGCGTGAAAAGATTTTCATCCTTCGCAACATACCAAGTGAGTTCTCTTCTTTTTTTACTATGACTATTTTTTCTATATCTTTCTATATCTTTTTCTATAACTTGTAAATATTATTGTCTTATTCTAGAGACTTTCTCTTAAGCCTCTCTAACACTTCTTTGTCTCCGACGAGAGTAGTTCGGGGGCGAATTTTTTACTTTAATCTTAGGGCTAATAATAACAATAAAAACAATAAATTTAACTCTAACAAAAAAATAAATATAGTTAGTAACAATAATTATATTAATAATAATAGTACTAATAGCAAGTATAATAAGAATAACTTTATTAAATCCCACTCTAATGTATTTAATACTAACGATAAGAATAATAATTCTAATTCCGTTAGTTTAAATAATATAAATAGATTTAAAAGTACCAATATCCAACCTACATCTACATTTTCACTATTTAATATTAACATAAGATCAATTAATAAAAAAATCGCTTTATATCCATCAAATAATCTCTTCCTCCTTACCTGATTTTTTTACTCTTACTAAAACTTGGCACGAGAACTCTAACTCTCCCTCTCTTATTCTTGCTACTCCTGATGGTTACAGCTTCCTTGAACTCTCTAGACCTCCAAAAAATTTTCTATCATCTTCTCATTCTTCTTATGGGGGTATCTGTCTATTTTATAAATCTCTATTTACTGCTTCCATTAATACATCTTTTAATTTTTCTTCTTTTGAATGTCTTGTTGTATCTCTTAAGTCTTCTTCTCTATCTTTTTATATTGCTGTAATCTATCGCCCTCCTTCTTCTTCTCTCACTTTATTCTTAGATGAATTCTACTCACTCGCTGAATCTCTCTACTCTTTTTCTATTCCTTTCTACATCTCTGGTGATTTCAACTTGCACTTTAATAATTTATCATGTTCTTACACTCGTAGATTTAATGATATTTTGTCTCTTTTTAACTTAACGCAATATTGTTCTTTTCCTACCCATACTTCTGGTAACACTATTGATTTTATTATAGCTTCATCTTTTTCTAAGCCTATTAATATCTCTGCTAGCTCTGTTCCTTATTCTGATCACCTTCTTATTGAATCTGTTTTTTCATTAAATTTTCTTTCTTCAAATTCATCTATGTCTATTTCTAAAAGATGCTGGTCTTCTCTTAATAAAGATATTTTTCTTCAATCTCTTACTGAAACTATTTTTGATACTACCTTATTTTCTGATGTTGATGATTTTGTCTATGCTTTTAATATCTACATTACTTCTATTCTTGATAAGCTTATTCCTCTTAAATCTTTTACTTATAGGCTCTATTCTCGTAAGGCTCCTTGGTTTGATTATGATTGTGTAGTAGCCAAGAAAAGTTTTAGAAGACTTGAGAAAGCCTATAGGTTAAATCCATCTAACTCTCTTTATTCTATCTATGGATCTGAATTGATTAATTATAAATATCTACTATTCTCTAAACACTCTACTTTTCTTAGAAATTCTATAACATCTGCTTCAACATCTAAAAATAGGTGGTCTGCTCTATCTAAACTTTTTCATAAGAAATCCTCTCACTCATCTTTTTCTGCTCAACAGTTTCATGACTTTTTTGTAAATAAAATTACTTCTTTAAGAACATCTAATTCTAATTTTTCTTCTCATAACTTTACAAAACTTACTACTGAATCTTTTTTTGTTTTTACTCCAATAAATCTTTTAGAACTAACTAAACTTATTAATTCTATGTCGTCTACAACCTGTTCTCTAGATCTACTTCCTTCTAATTTACTTAAAAAATTTTCTTCAATATTTTATCCAATCATTCTCAAATTAGTTAATTTATCTCTTTCCACCTCTAAATTTCCTACTTCTTATAAAAATTCTATTGTTATTCCTATTCTTCAATCTTTATATTATACAAAAATGTAACATTTGTTAATATGTTTAAAAACGGATCTTTTTAGAGCCAACTATATGACGTTAAGCCACAGTTAAACCATAATAATGACGCTTTTAGTATGTATGTATGTCATTGTCTCGTTGAATAGTATGTGTCTAGTTTGGAGTTGCATTGTAATTGATAATATATTATTTTTTGGTATCGTATCGTATCGTTTTGTAGCGTAATATTAATTAGTAACATTAAGAACCGTTTGTTAGCGTAATAATAATTAGTAATATCATGAACCGTTTTGTAATGTTTGTAAGGCTTTCAAACATTTCACGCACTCAAAACACTCCGTTCACATGGTCTCAGAGGCATCAAATTATTCGACATCACCGAATCACTCATCATCTCACGCATCAAATATGCAGTTCCCTCCTGGTCTGGTTTTGCCACGCAACAACAACTTCAGCAACTACAATCTCTCATCAAAAAACTAATTCGCTTCAACTACCTACCTGCATCATATACTACCGTCACTCAGATATTCAACATAATCGATTCAAGACTTTTCAAGAAAGTAAAAAATAACAACAACCACGTCATCCATCCTCTACTACCACCAATCAAAACTACAATACACAACCTTCGTCAGAGCAAACATAACTATCAAGTCGCCACCCAATCTACATACCAGGAAAAGACCTTCATCACAAGACACCTCAAACATATTAGCGCTTAATAAAACTTTATCATTACAGAACTAGTTTTTATTTATTGATCACCTCACTAATTCACCAACTAACTCACCATCAAGCATATTAATTCCCGTTAAAACTTTATCACTCACAGATCTAGCTTTTATTCATCGATCACCTCACAGATCTAGCTTTTTTTTATTCATCGATCACCTCACAGATCTAGCTTTTATTTATTGATCACCTCACAGATCTAGCTTTTTTTTATTCATCGATCACCTCACAGATCTAGCTTTTATTTATTGATCACCTCACAGATCTAGCTTTTTTTTATTCATCGATCACCTCACAGATCTAGCTTTTATTTATTGATCACCTCACAGATCTAGCTTTTTTTTATTCATCAATCACCTCACAGATCTAGCTTTTATTTATCGATCACCTCACTAACTCACTAAGTCATTATCTAGTCTATCAATTTGCCGTTACTTCATTTTATATTCCATTGTTAATTACTTTTCTTTTATTTTTCTTATTATTATTATTTATTTTATTTTATTCTAACATATTTTATTTTTCATGTTTTATCATTTTTCTTCCTCACTTTTTGTATTTATTTTCTCACTTATTTGTTTAATTTTGTTCTACTGCCTTGCATGTTGTTACAGTTTCTGCGTTTGTCAGATCCTGATTTTTAAAGAATAATTTTAAAAAATGTATTGTTGATTAATAATAACAATATCGAACTGAACTGTGAATATTGAAGATTTATCCTCATTTGAATATCAAACTGTTGATTTGATTTCTGTTATGCTTTTCGTTCATTGAAAGGAAATATCTAAACTAGCTCGGTGTTGTTTTAAGTTGGGAATAATAATCCTCTCCGAAAATAATTCGTGACAAACGTGTTTTGCCTCACATCAAAAATTGTTAACGAAACATATTTCAATAACATGTTTCAACAATGCCAAAAATTCGACAATGAAGAAGGGAGAGGATCTCGTGAAAAAAAATCCTGCTTCACTTGCATTTATAGTTATCTATCGAGCTCTTTTTTAGTCATCCTTTTTAAAAATTTATCCTCCAATCCCATTATAGATGATGTTGAAAAAAATTGGACAAGAACACACCGAAAAAGGCAATCTAGATGAAATGTAACAATGCACAAGCATACTCAATTTGTGCACAAAATTCATCAAATCAAAAAAGTTTAGGAATATAAGGAAAGAGATTTGTAGCAATTCCACTTTGAGAATGGTTTTTAGTATTTTTTAACATCATTCAAAGTGAATGTAAATAAATGTAACGATAATTAAGACAAATTGTAGTTTGTCGACCATCCTAAAAACGAAACAAATTTTCAAACAAAAAAAAAACACACAAAAAATATTTCAAAATTATTTTACGAGTGAATGAATGAATAAGCAATCGAATGAGTGGATGAATAGAATTTCGACTGGATGAGTGTTCCAATTAAAAACTACAACAACACGAACGTGCACAGACCATCTTTGGCATAGTGAATAATTAGTGAGTGTATGAATGAACGAACTAATGAACGAACGAATGAACGAACTAATGAACGAACGAATAAATGGTGTAAATGAATGAATAAATGAGTGATCGAATGAATGAGTGAGTGAATGAATGAAGGAGCGACAACAATAAAACAAAAACAAACAACTAATAACAGCAACATAAACCTGCAACAAATTGTCCCTGGCATAGTCGGTAAGTAGATGGCTCTTCAGTGACAGCATGACGTCGTTGAACTGGTTGGCAGTTATGAATCCCTCCATCCTCTCGTCGTACTTCATGAAAGCTTGCAAGGCGTGCTCCTCATAGAAATCCTGGACGGTGTGGTGGAATGAATGTCTGTTTGTTTGTGTGTGTGTGTTTGTTTGTATGTGTTTGAATGTTTGTTAGTTTGTTCGTATGAATGTCTGTTTGTTTGTGTGTGTGTGTTTGTGTGTGTTTGAATGTTTGTTAGTTTGTTTGTATGAATGTCTGTTTGTTTGTGTGTGTATGTGCTTGTTTGTATGTCTGTTTATTTGTAAGTTTGTTTGTGTGCTTGCTTGTTTGGTTCTTTGTTTGTTTGTATGAATATTTGTTTGTGTTTGTGCGTGTTTTTTTGTTTGTCTGTTTGTTTGTGAGAACACTTGTTTGGTTCTTTGCTTGCATGAATGTTTGTTTGTTTGTGTGTTGTGTGGCTGTGTGTATGTGTTTATTTTTCTAATTGTTTGTGTGAATGCTTGTTTAGCTCTTTGTTTGTATGTATGAATGTTTGTTCGTGTGTGTGAGTGTGTGTGTTTGTTTGATTGCTGGAATGAATGTTTGTTTGTTTGTGTGCACACGCACGCACGCACACACGCACACATCAAACATACGTGCAGAATCTTGGTGAATTCACTGTAAGAGACGAGTTTCTTCTTGTCCTTGCCGAAGTGCAGTAGTATGAATGATGAGTCAAAATCAAATGGAATTCTCTTGTGCAGTTCAGTTTTACAGAGGACATCAAAAAATTCATCTGCGCGTTTTTAGTTTGGTAGCGATATTTTTTCGGTGAATTGTTGATGAATTATTGAAAAATTGCTGATGAATTAATTATTAGTGAATCATTCTTGAAGTATTGATAAATTATTGGTGAATTGTTGATGAATTATGGATTAATTTTTGTATGAATTGCTAGCGAATTAATTCATTGATCAGCAATCATGCAAACAATCAATAAGCAGCCTAAACTGATCGGTCACTCACTCATTCATTAAACCAACTCACCTAAAAAAAACCAACTCGCCAACTCACCAATCAATCAAACAACCAACCAATCAAACAACCAACCAATCAAACAACCAACCAATCAAACAACCAACCAATCAAACAACCAACCAATCAAACAACCAACCAATCAAACAACCAACCAATCAATCAACCAACCAACCACCCAACCAACCAAACGATATATATCCGTTACTATTTTTATCAAAAATCCTAAATGCAAGGGCATATATTGAGTCGGGTTGGACTAGGCAGCCTTCAAATGCTTGAAATTCATTGAATGATATCAATCTGCAATTAGTTGGTTGGTTGGTTGGTTGGTTGAGTGAGTGAGTGAGTAAGTGAGTGAGTGATTGGTTGGTTGGCTGGTGGTGGCGAGATAGATGGATGGAGGGATGAATGAATGAAAGAAAATTGTCACTATGCAATGGGTGAATGGGTAGTGGAGTCAACAGATGAATAAAATAGTGGATGAATGAATGAATGAATGAATGAATGAATGAATGAATGAGTGGATGAATGAATGAATGAATGAATATATGAATGAGTGAGTGAGTGAATGAATGGATTAACATATGAATGAATGTATAAGATATATAAAAACGTGGCATTGATTTGTATAATTTATGATGATTTGATTTAAATGAATAATATAATTTTATAAGTTATCGTTCTTGCTTGATTACGTCGTAAAATTAATTGATGTTAACGAGCTAAATTAACAATCAATCAATCAATCAATCAATCAATCAATCAATCAATCAATCAATCAATCAATCAATCAACCAGCTAACCAACCAACCAGCCAATCAACCAACTAACCAACCAGTCAATCAATTAACCAACCAACCAGCCAATCAATTAACCAAACCAACCAATCAGTCAATCTATAAATCAATCAGTCAATCTATATGATCAACCAGCTAACCAACCAATCAGCCAACCAACCAATCAACCAGCCAATCAACCAACTAGCCAGCCAACCAACCAACACAAACCCATCATTAGTAGTATCAACAACGTTGGCAAGCAACATTATAGTGTCTTCATCATAGACTTCCGAAGAACAATCAGCACCAGCAGTAGTGGCAGTAGCAGCAGTAGTGGTGGCAGTAGAAGCAGCAGCAGTAGTGGTGGCAGTAGAAGCAGCAGCAGTAGTGGTGGCAGTAGAAGCAGCAGTAGTAGTGGTATTAGAAACAGTAGTTGGCGAATTTGATGAAGATGGGGGTGGTGGCATGACACCCAAAAACTTGCAGATGAAATCTCTCGGAGTCATATAGTGGATGCCATTTCTTTCGACTGAGGCGTACTGATGGTGGTGGTGGTGACGATGATGATGATGATGATGGTAATGATGAAGATGTTGCTTATGAAGATGATAATGATGATGATGTTTATGATGATGATGATGCTGATGTTATTCTGTATGCTGATGATGTTGCTTATGATGATGATAATGGTAATGATGATGATGATATTCTGTATAATGATGATGATAGTGGTGGTAATGTTCTTTATGATTGTGTATAATGATGATGACGACGACGATGATGTTGTTGTTGATGATAATGATGACGGTGTTGATGAGTTTAATGGTGATGGAGATAACTATAATAACAACAACAACAACAAAAATGACAACAACAACAACAACAACAAACCTTCAGAAAGACAGCTTTTAGTTTTTCAGTATCAGCCCTCTTGACAAAATGCTAAAAAGTAAGAAAAAATTAAAAACAATATGGAGGAAATAATAATTATTTCATTCATTCATTTATTATTATTAATGAATAAAATAATAATTATTTATGTCTCATCATCACCATCACAAGTATTATCTTCATTATTCATTCATTCAGACCTCTTCATTCATTCATTCATTCACTCATTCATCTATCTTTCTATTCATTCACTTTCCATTCATTCATTCGTTCATTCATTCATTCATTCGTTCATTCATTCATTCATTCGTTCATTCATTCATTCATGTATCCATCTTTCTATTCATTCATCTACCCTCCATACATTCTCTCAATTATTAATTTAACTAATTCATCTTTGTCCAAATGATCAATAGTTCATTCAACATTCAACTGTTCATCATTAATTAATTCATTCATCCACTCACTTCAAATCTCATTGATTTATTCATTCAGTCAGTCAGTCAGTCATTCATTTAATAACTCATTCAATCATTCATTCATTCCTTCACCGAAAAGTTAATTCACTTGTTTATCCATTCATACATTCAATCAATCATTCATTCATTTATTCATTCATTCACTTATTGTTTTCTTCTTCCATCCAAGCATGCTACTTGCTTACATGTTGTTTATAGGTACACACTTTGTAGTTGCCAATTCATGGATAACTTCAAAGGCAACAAATTTTTGAGGAAGAGGGAGAGAGATGGAAAAAAGAGAGAAAAAGAAAAACAATGAGAGAGAAAACGAGAAAAAGAGAGAATGAGAAACAATGAGAGAAAGAGAGAGAGTGAGAGAGAGAGAAAAGTGAATTAGGTAAAAGAAAAAAAAAAGAAAAAAATAAAAAAATGATAGGATAGAAAAAAATTGTGAAGGAAATAAAAATGTGAGCGTGAGAGAGAGGGAGAGAGATAGAAAGAGAGAGAGAGAGAGACGTAGGAAAAGAAAAAGATGATTGCAGCAATGACTTTTAAAATGAAAAGATAATCATGGTGAGAATGATTACTCCAGGGTGAATAAACTGTAACCATTACGGATGCAACAATATTAAAAATGATATCATAATAATAATAAATAATAATAATTAAAATAACGATAATAATATTAAATAATAATAATAATAAATATAAAACATGAAAGACTTGTTCATTAAACATTTTTGATACGTCAGTACAAAAAACCCAACTATTACAATTGTAAAGTCTTCGGTAAACGGAAGATTCCCCAGAAAAATTTTCAACTATTGCATCATAATTCATCATCTTTTTATCACTAATAAATAGAAAATACTTTTAAAAAAAGAACACTAAAGATCAATCAATGTATAATTGTTTTTCTGAGTAAAATTCTTTTTTGATGATTCAACACTGACTGAAAAAAATTATGCGATCATAATGACATTATTTAGCATTCATTTCCTTTACTAATGATCATTGCCCAATGCTACAGTTATTTATTTTCCACAATACTCCATCTTAAAAAAATTTCGCAAAAAGTAATTTAATAGAATTAATTATAATTACAATAGCAACAATAATATTAATAATAATCACACACAATTAGTCATCCATTCAATCACTCATTCATTCATTCATTTAATCATTTAACCATTCATTCATTCATTCACTTATTTAATCATTCATTCATTCAAACGTTCGCATTCATTCATTCAATCATTATTTCACTCAATCATTCACTCAATCAATCAATCAATCAATCAATCACTCCAGTGAATGCAGTAGAATTCACACACACACACACACACACACACACACACACACGTCACACAGACGGATTCACTTGCATTCAAACTGAGTCAGAGTAACAGCAGGAACAAGCACTTTAACCACTACACTACCTAATTATCCATAAATAATATTAATAATAACAATAACAACAATTACAACACCATCCCCAATTAATAAAAGCAATAATAATAAAAAACAAACAAAACAAAATAATAGCAATAATAATAATAATAATAATGATGACAATAATTTATTTATTTATTTATTGATTGATTTATTTCAAAACACCGTCCATTGAGGACTTGTATGGTCGAAAAACAAACAAAAAAAAACTCAACACAAATAATAAAAAAATAATAAAATTAAAAAAAATAAATAAAATAAAATAAAAATGGCAAGAGGAAACCTTGAAAGCTCCCTTCCTCTCCTGCATGTTGTTGGAAGCAGGCGTCAGAGAGTTGGGAAACATTTTCAACATCTGCATCACCTCCTCGTTCAGTGTTGTTGTCGCGGTGGATGACATTTCTTGTTGTTGGTTTACAGCCACTGATGTGGATTAGATATCATTCAATGAGTTGTCGTTGTTGGTGTTGCTAGAAGTACTGCTGATGTTCTTGCTGGATTTATTGTTATTATTATTGCTGGATTCGTCGTCGTTACTGATGTTACTTCGATGTTGCGTTTTAACTGATGCTATTTCATTGTTGCTGGCAAATGTGAGGATTCATTGAGGATGGAAGGCTTATTAGTTGGTTGCCGTTGGTTGGATGCTGGCTGTCACTGATGTGGATGATGATGCAACCTGCTGCTGTTGTGGTCGGGTGAGGAAGTATTAGAAGCAGTTGGATTAGAAATTGTAAAATTTGAGACGTAATAGCAACAGTTATAAAAACAAAGTAGTAGTAGCAGTAGCAGCAGAAGTAGTAGTAGTAGTAGTAGCAGCAGAAGTAATAGTAGTAGTAGTAGCAGAATTAGTAGCAGCAACAGTAGTAGTAGTAGCAGAATTAGTAGTAGTAGTAGCAGCAGAAGTAGTAGCAGCAACAGTAGTAGTAGTAGCAGCAGCAGCAGTAGTAGTACCTACCTAATTATACTTTACTAATTTTAAATTTTCTTCACTCAATGAAAATAAATTAATGAAAAAAATAACAAATTAAATAATTAAAAAACAAATAAATAACAATAATTAATTAAAAAGTAAATAAAAAGTGAACGGGACAATGGATTCTGGAAGAGAATAATGACAACTAAATCTAAATGACAGTGATGATCTATTCACCATGCATTTGATATATATATATATATATACATACATATATATATATACATACATACATATATATTTATATATGTGTGCATGTGTATGTATATATACATATATATTATTATTATCATTATCATTATTATTATTATTATTTAGGACAATATATATAGCGCCCATTCAATGTTCTTACAGGCACTCTCAAAAAAATCAAACTTGATTATATAAGTACAAACAAGTAAGTAGATATATATAACAAGTATATATATATATATATATATATATATATATATATATATATATATAGTCTGAAGTATAAACTATAAATCAGATAAACTATCTTTGATAAACAACAACAACAACTACTACAACAACAACAATAAAAATAATAATACTCCTTCTAGTGTTAAGGATAAAAATTACAATCATAGAGAGTTAACAATGCAGCAGCGACAACAACAACAACAATATTAATAATAATAATAATAATGATAACAATAGTAATAATAACGATGATGATAATGATTGTAGTAATAATAATAATAATAACATTAACATAATTTAAAAAGGAGCAGAGCAGTCTTTTCACTCTTCAGAAATAAATAAAAAAATGGATCCATATCGTATTCACATACGCACAAACACATAACTAGTTGA